AACCCTTTAATTTGTGTCCATTTTCTAAGATTAAGTCGCGTTCGTTTGAGGATTTGAAAACGACTTTGAGTAGTCTAGACTGATTTGGTTTCAGATGCGCTAGATTTCCTAGTCTATACACCTTTAGCAAGGTGACTCCGGGGATGTTTTTGGGCATAACTTGGTTGAGTAGTTGTTTTATCAACACAATGTCATGCTCAAAACGAGCTTTCGGTTCTAAGTTGTCACTCTCCTTGACTCTATGGAGAATGACTGATCTGTCGCTGTGATCAGACCTCGGCTTGTCGACCCTTTTGGTGGGGGTATGATTTCCTTTTACGTCATTTTGGCGTTTTTTTCTTACGACCCGTACCCAATCGCCAACGTTCTTTGGAGTGGTAACCACATTCGCGTCAGGCGTACTGTGGGATTCCGGAAGAGTCCATAAAGAATGTTTAATTGTGGATAAAAAACCTCTGTACATACGTCTACAATTCAGAGGTGACGCACCTGGTGAATTGGTAAGATTGAAACTACGAAGATCAATCGAAAGGACTTTTAATGCAGGTAAACTACAACCAATGTTTTCCACACGCCCAATGATCACGCCGACATTGAAAGATAAATTGCCTAGACTAGCCACTTCTTTCTGTATCTATCAGTTCAACTGCTCCTGTGGAGCAAGTTATATAGGCAGATGTTCTAGGAATTTGTATACTCGGGCTCGTGAACACCTTCCAGTGTGGTTAAGCAAAGGTGTAGTCAGAACGGTTAACAGCTCTGTTTCAGCCCATTTAGTTCAGACGGGACATAGAGCCGACATTGAGCAATCTTTCATAGTAATATATCGTGTAAATAGCAGTCTACCTAATTCTGTCAGACAGAGAATGCTGCAGACGGCTGAGGCAATTGCTATTCGGATCAAAAAGCCAGAGCTCTGCATCCAAAAGAAATATGTACAGCCACTCCTTTTACCCTGGCCAACTGCAGGGTCAACTTGTTAATAATCAATTTTGTAATATGGTGACATTAATTTGATTAATGTTCATTTCTATATCTTAAACTTAGTTTATCTACACATCTTATCAGTCATTATTCTTCTTCTTATTATTATTATCTTTATTATTATTATTATTATTATCACACCTGCTAACATTTTATAGAAATTTATTTATCATCCACCCCCTGTCTACTTTATCTGACCTAATTTATATAATTCTACATATTACGTAATTTCCGATTTGTAATCCTATTTTTGTAGCTCTCACCCCCATATCAACTATATATATATTCTGATAATTTATCTTACGATTTTATTTCACCTATAAACTGATTCAAGTTAACACTTCATATTAGTCATCCCAAAAACATTAATGATTCGATCTTATTTTATATGACAAACAATCCTTGATTCACATGTTACAGTTTCTTAAATGATGTACTCTGCCTTAAACTTGGCCAATTTTCTTTTGTGGATTATTAATTTATAGAGTTGAGATCATGAGTCAATTGAAGCTAGACCACCATGGAAAACGTGGAAGCACTGGACGGCCGTTTCGTCCTACTATGGGACTCCTCAGCAGTGCGCATCCACAAACCCGCTCTCGCGAGCGAGATTCGAACCCAGGACCTACCAGTTACGAGCCAGAGCCCTTAACCGATAGACCACTGAGCTGGCATCCACCGGTGTTAATGTTTAACTTCAACTGATTCACGAAATTGAGCAACCATTCACCAATGTCATCAGTGAGTTCCTATCTCACAACAGACCTGGTTGAACTCCACCGGTTACTGCTTCTCACTAGAACTCCAGGAAATACCTCAAGGAGCTTCAATTGACTCATGATCTCAACTCTATAAATTACTAAAATCTTCACAAAACCCCTTCTGATATTAATTTATACTTGTAAAACCTGATGAGAAATTATTGAAAAGAATATTCTTCGTTCATATAATTGTTTTAATATGATGGGAATTTTTCAGCAATTATTTAGTTTAAAGATAGCTTACAATTATGAGAAAATGTCTTAAGAGGACGTTTGTTCAAATTGACGATAATATATGGGACTGAGTTGTACAGAGGTGAAAGGTGAGGATCGACACAAAAAAGTATAGTTCAATATTTACCTACTACATGTGTTTATTTGAGGACATAATGGCTATAGAAATGTCTAACAAGTATGAATATAATCTGATCATTCAGAATCTACTGGTCCACACATCAAACATAGAAACAAGTTACCTCAAAAAGCTTCATAACTCCCTACCATTGCATCTTAATAGCTTTGGATCAGAATTCCAAATCGATTGAGGTAGTGTAAGTTTGGAAATAACTATAAATGACCAGTTGAGGATAATACATATGTGACTGTCGCGTAAGTCGGTATAATTGTAGTCTGTAGTTAGATAAGCTAAATCCTATAACGGGCTGCATGTATATTAGTGGGGTGTATGATAAAATTGGTAAATTCTGTCTCAACAGTTATATTGCAATAATTTTAATTGTTGTAATATAAAGGTACCTGTTAAGGTTTCTGCAGTGGAATCGCTACCATTATATCCTAAAACGTGTTTTTGCTAATGAGAGCAGATAGGTGTAAAGACGAAGTTTATTGTTTCTAACATCCTAATCACTGGGTAGTTTCAAAGTTGAATTTCTTGTAGTTGAAAAATATTAAACGGTCTTTTGGTTGGCCACTGTTGTAGTAGTAAAATGATGCAAAATAAATGTTCACTTCTTATATCCTTAATTTTCGCGCTTCACTTGGTGTATATTGCATAAATTAATTAGTTGCATTTGTGTGTGTATGTTGTCTAAGCTTGTGTAAGTGGAGAAATATATGTCTAAGATGTATATAATAATACCCCTTAAGTCAGTCACAGCGTGGAACCCGGTACTTATGTACATTGGTTTAAGTTATCATGGACCATTAACAGAAAAATGAAATTGTCAGGGAAAACCCCAGTGTTCTAGAGGTAGTAACAGTATCAGTGGTAATAGTGAAGATTAGGCATGAAAGATAATTCAAGAAAATATAAATGAGTAAAATAAAAACGAAAATACGTTGTGGGGAATTCAGAATTTGAGGGAGGCAATAATGGGCGCCCTTGCAAGTGGTTTCAAGTCTCTAATCATTGGTTATGATAATCATGTGAACTCCAGGCAGATGGTCTACATTTAATAATATGACTCAGTTCAATTGTCAGTGACTTATTGAACCGATGCTATGTTTTGGTTAGGCTGCCCTTAGCTTTCTTACAGCCTTCCACACCAGATAACACTCGTTTAGGTAGGTGGTGCTTGGGCATACATAACACCTGTCCAAACGACCTCAGTTGGTGAAGATTTACTACCTCACCGTTCTATTTTCCACCCTTAACTCGTACTTTATTCCTGACCCACGCATTACTTACTCCGTGATCTCAAAATACACAAACAGTTTTTTTAAGAGACCGGCGATCGAATATTGGTGACCTTTGAGTATCCTCTATGGTTAATGGCCATGTTTCACACTTATAAAGTAGAACAGATCGAACTGCTGTGCAGTAAATTCATCCCTTGGCTGGCAGATGAATATTCACATACGCAACAAGTGACGCAATTTGGGGTGTGCTAGCTTTGAATGTAGAAAGATCTAAGTTTCATTAAATGACGATGATCAGAATGTTAGGGACTTTATACTTGAACTGCAGAGACAGGTTGCGAGGTGAAATTTTAAAGACCAGTTGTAAACTAACTTCGCGATCGGTTGATTGCTGGGATAAATATTGCGAATTAGAGTACTGCACGTTTATTCTTAGTAGTGTGCACATAAAGGATAAATTAAGGTTGGAACCCGTACAGAGACGACCTAGTTTTCGGATTCTTGGAACTGATTGTACCTTTAATCATAATTCCAGATGTAATGAACTCGGACTCGACCATTTATGGAAGAGGAGACTTAAACTAAATCTAATCTTTTTTCTTCAAAATATCTAATAAACTATCATTTACGTCCAGTCAAGTTATTGAATATGCAGAAACTTTTGATTACAATATCCATAACTCCTTGTCAATAGTGAAACAAACCGATTCTAAGTCGTCTCTCTATATGAAATACTTTACCAGTGAATTCTCCAGAATGTGGAATGATCTACTGCAATCTATCCGTCAGATAAAATCACTCCCATCCTTTGTTAGCTGCATAATGCTTCTCTGAAAATGGATTAAATGTTGTAACATCTGTAAACATATCTTGTTCCACAAGTGAAATACTAGGAACTTTAAATGTTTAGCCATTCTTGTTATTGAATTCACTAAGCAAACCACCAACCTGATGTTACTTTACATTAACACTGACCCTAGCAACCCTAACTAATTTGAATAATATCTAATATGAACAATATATCACTGAGTAACATGACAGATGCATTATGGTAGACCTGATTGACATATTTTAGTAATTATTGCTTTGTTGTTCCTTGCTCTTTGTTTCCATTTTGCTTTCTTTAGTTGTAAATGACTATAATTAATTCGTTATGACACAGGAGATGACCTTAAATGCACCGTTCATATGTCAACAGGATGTCCACTTAAGAAGAATTAAAAGTTCCTGGCCGGTGCATTTCATTGCTGTGATACATGTCACGAATGTACTACGTTAACAATTTCTGAACTAGTAAACTTAAAACAATCTTATATCACATGTTTGTTCTCTACATTGAATGTTATTATTTAAGCTGATCATGCCTGTAAACTGGCATGAATATTAGAATATTAGAGGAATCATTGAAGTTATCGGTTATATTACATGAATATAATTCTTAATATAAAAATATAAAACATGATAAATAAATACCTAGTGAATAGATTCAAATGCAAAGTATTACAATACAAGTTATACATAACTAGGAAAATAAATGATGATTTGAAATTAAATAAAACAAGAGAATGAGCAAATGTCACAGAGATGATTGAGAATTCGAAATAAGCATATTTATTTCAACACTATGACAATAAAACAAATGTTTAGATAGGAATATTAAAGTAAAGAAAACGACGGTAGTTTCATCTCATCGGTGAGCATACCAGTATTGCACTCAAAGTGTAACAGTTCTGTAAGCTGTTTAATTGTCATACTCATTAATTGAGCTCTATCTTCACTGGGTCCAGCTACTCCTAAACTAGTGGAGCTTGTTCGTCGTATACCAGCGCCAATCATACATTCTGTATCAATATTATAAGGACCAACTTCTGTGTTTCGAGAATGTGATGCATGTAATGCGGCTTCAATGCTATCTTTTACTAAGAACCGATGTACAACTCCGGGTCTAAATAGAAAGTAAAATACGTAATCAAAATCATTAAACAATTATTATTCACTTATGTAAAACGCATTCGACTTGTATGTTGCCACTAACCGCGAATGACTAGTAATATAATTGAAAAAATAAAATATGTTTAGATGCCAATAAAAATGCTTGTATAAAATAAATTTTAAATCCGCGGTTATTTCTACAGTGATTTTATCATGAATTTCACTAAATCTTCACTTTTCTATATTCCATAAAGATGTGTTATTTTACTTTATTTGTTGGTAGGTGAACTTTCTCTTTTGATTCAGTTATAAGAAAACATCTGTGTTTAAATCCCCAAACAGGATACACAAGATATACTAACCTAAGTTCCCAACGGATTATTGTTTTTTGTAGTAGAAAGCATGAGTCAATTGAAGCTAGACCACCATGGAAAACTTGGAAACACTGGACGGCCGTTTCGTCCCATCATGGGACTCCTCAGCAGTGCGCACCCACGAACCCGCTCCCGCGAGATTCGAACCCAGGACCTACCAGTTTCGAGCCGAAGCCCTTAACCGAGAGACCACTGAGCTGGCATCCAACGATGTTAATGTCTAACTTCAACTGATCCACGAAGTTGAGCAACCATTCACCAATTGTCTTCAGTGAGTTCCTATCTCACAACAGACGTGGTTTTGAACTCCACTGGTCACTGCTACTCACTAGAGCTCCTAGTTATACTTCTCGAAGTCACTAGTGAGCATATGATTATATTAATTATGAGAAGGGGTTTTGTGGAGATTTAGTAATTTTCATAGTAGAAAGCATGAATCAATTGAAGCTAGACCACCATGGAAAACCTGGTCTACTACTTATCAGAAAAACTATGAATTCTTAAATTATATGATCTGATGGATAGCTCTAAACCTAATAATTTATATCATAGACGAGATATTTGGCAGATGCATCGATGAATCACGAAGCACACTTAAATTCTTTTGTACTTTATGAAAATTACTTTTTAATACAAACAATATCTTTGAACATGTCGAAATTCTGACAAAGTTAATATATGAATCCCTAGCAAACAAAATAGCGAGCTGAACATCGGATTCCTCACATAAATCATGTATTTTCGGAGCTAACGTGAAATGCCTCACAATCATTTACAAACCTTGTTTGTCCGATTCTGTGAATTCGCGCTACTGCCTGAGCTTCTCTTGCATGTGATAACACAGGATCAACGAAAAGTACATGATTTGCTGAAGTCAAATTTAGACCATTAGCGCCAAGTTGGACTGGCATCAAAAGAATCCATGTTGTAGAACCGAAACACTGAAAACCAGCCAATCTGCCTGGACAACAAGCGTCACGAGCGTGAAATAATGTTGTGTAGGCCAATCCATTCTGATCTAACGCTCCAGCTAGTGTTACTAGAACAGACAACCACTAAAATGAAAAAGAAAAGTAATACTTGAAGTAAATAAACCCGTGCTGTTAACGGCATAAGTCGTTAGATGCCTTGTACTAAAAAAAGGGATGCATGACACACGCAGAATGGAACTCGATATTGGAAATAACAGCAGTAAACTGTGTACTGTATAGTTTAGATAACCATCTTCATTACAGTAATCATTTATCAGATACAAATGTATGCACTAGGTTCGAGCCATACTCTAAGCATGAGGACTAGTGATACAGCCTGGTTGCTCAAAGCGCATATATAATGAGTACTGATGAGATTATCGGACTGTTGCTGATTCCCTGTTAGACCAAATCATAAATTTAGGGCAGAAATATGACAGTAATCAATGTAATTCCAAAGTCCTTGGTCATTGTGGAATTGAACTGATTGAGGATGAAGTACATTGCGAACTACATAATGGGAAGTTGGCGCACACGGTTAAATATTAGGTGTAAGTTATTAAACGTCTATAAGAAACACCATTAACTGTACTGAATGACATATTTCAGAAATGTATCTGCTAACTTGAGGATACTTATCGTTGTGAGATCCTAATAATAAAGACAAATTGAGGGAATTAGTTTCGGTTAGTATCCGGTGACCAAATAATGATTTCAGTTCATGAAACTTCTAATATTTACACAAAACCATACTAAGATACCTAATATATATGTAATGAGATAATCCAATAGAAGTTCAAAGAGATTAAATGTCAAGCTACTAGTTAAACAAATCAATATAATGGAAAAAAGTAAGCCATAAGGATGAGAACAAACTTTCAAAGGAACTCACAGAACTGAAAACAATGGCTTTAGCATCAGGATCTTCCCGTTTAATCACTTTTAAACGCTGAATAACAGCTCTTACTTTTGTACTATGATCACCCTATGAGTAAATGAGAATATGAAGTTTTTTAATAGACAAGAAGATAGATAAAAGAACCCAGTTTTAATAAACTAGATATTTCATCAGTTACTTATAGATCAGAAAAGAATTTTGGTGACTTAGTATTATTGGACAACTTACTGATGAAGTCATCATTTTCCTACTAGGCAGAATAGAATAGAAATTTCTAATAATGAGATCATCTGTAAATGACTTATTTTAAATCAATTCACGGCTGTCTGAATTTAGAATTCGCTCACCAAATTTCTTATAAACCGATAAATTTTACACACTTCAGATGATCGATTGAATTCGAAGCGAAATATTAGAAATTACCTGAAACTTAGTTCACGTATACAAAAACGCCTTGAAACTGTTGCATAACTTTGTTTGCTTTCGTGAGAGAACAATGATACACCTGATGTTGTACAGTATTTCAAAATTATACTTTAATTATTTTTTATTACTCTTCTTTGTAAATTTCGAATTATGTTCTCACAAAATCGAATCCTGCGTTGGTTAGCAGTACACACTGAATAATCGTTAGGTACATAATGTGTTTCACTGATATAAATTTGGGCCAAACTGTTTGTATAATGACTGAAGAAACAACGCAGTTTCTCAAACCAAAAGTAGATACAGCAGGGTTCGAACATGTGACCAATTAATTAAAAGATAAATACACGATTATTGGGTGGCCACTATAACATTATTATCGGTCCATTATGATTTTAGTACGTAAATTGTTTTTGTTTTTCATAGTAAGAGACTATTTGCAAAACTGTTCATGTAAAAAAGTTCCATTTCTTTCTTGAGAGGGTACGAACTCTCCAGTGAGAAACTCGTCATTTTTCTCTTTGACAAGTTGTTGGTTAGAGTATGCCTAGATCACTATTTTAGCCGTGGCATTAGGATTTTGGACCGAATTCAATAACCTCATGGTGTATTATTTCGATATTCTCTCAGGATTTTTCATTTGCCAGAGGCAAAAATGAACATATTACAAAAGGTTTGAGTCGATGCTGACGAATGCTACTTTTAAGTTATGTTTAGAAACCGATGAAGCATACAGGTAGGGCTAACGTATTCTAAGAATCCTATATTTTCTATGAAGTTTTCAAGAGCTTCGAAGTTTCGTCTTCAAAATTTTCAGTAGAAAAATGAAGCAATATTCTCGTACCGATTTTTAGGCATGTAAAACCCTGACTAGGATGTAAAAATGACTGGCGTACCACTATATTTAAATCTCCTTCTGTTTCTTCGGATTTCACTGAGTTTTCTTGATGCACCTTACTTCCAGCATAATGAATAAGTGTTAAAGGTCGTCTACGTCGAGCATTTAAACCCGCAGTTTCCATTGCTTGAAATGGTGTTCGACAGATTGGACATCTTCGTTGGGAAACTTGATTTAGTGATGCGATACGATCATGACAAGTGACACAAAGAGTATGCCAACAACCAGGAAGCAAAACAAAAGTTGGATTACATGGTGAATGTAACTGTAAGCAAGTTGGACATTCAAGTGGTCGACTTTTAGATTGTTCACCATTAGCATTATTATCTTCAGTTGAAGTAGAAAAGCCAGTTACTGCTGTTAAATGAGCGTTACGCAAGAAGTTAAAATGTCCAAGACGAGATTGAAGTCTAGGCCAAATTACGTCAGCTTCAACTATGTAGGAATGTAATTGGGCATCAACCTATATAGATAAAATATAGAGATGATGTGTCAAAGTTGTAAACAGATAAGTATTTATTTAATATTAACATAACAACAAGTTAATTACCTCATCCTCATGAATAAAAGCTAAATCTGTTGGACAAGTGGCTTGAAGACGAACAACAAACTGTTCGGTATCATCGTGTATATTCCACCATTCCATGGTTAGTGACTGTGTACGGCTGGTTAGCTACAGAAAATTACAAGGTAAAATAAAAAAACGGACTAATTTACGCAAATCATAGATTCTTAACAGAATATACTTTAATAGTCATCCACCAGATATGGACCAAGTATATACACATGATGATGAAACAATAAATCTTACACTTGATAGCCATTTTAAACAAGTTACTCCTTAAGACAAAAATGCACTCAATTGTTCCATAAAACATGATCTTTATATTATTCTTTCATTCCAAGTTTTACTTAGCAATGAACAGTTCTAAGCAGGTAGCTGAAAATGAAATTAATTTCCTCCTGGTGCAACAATTATTCTCGTTGTTAATATATTTCCATATATATATATGGAATCTAATATTGATCTGTACACTTACATCAGTCGCTTGTGTACATAACTAAAATAAGGGAATCTACTAAACTTAATAAGATGATTTTGCTTTGTGAACTGTATTGAAAGTAGTGTAAATCAGAAACATTCTACTCTGACCGACTAATATGACTTTACAAAAAACAGTTTTTATCAATGATTACTTGGTTCAAACAGCTCTACGTCCTTAAAAACATGTAATATAAAACAAAACAAATATGAAGAATGCTAAGTTGCATGTGTATCACTCTCTCGGTGATAGTTCTTTAACATGCTTTGCTCACTCCTGCTGATTCCCGACACTGAATTCACAGGTTCAAAGTACTATCAATCTTTGGGCGATACAGCTAGGAGGCATCACTATTACCTATACATTACATGAAACTCGAAGCTTATGACAAACATCGATAAGTTCCGTTAGCAAATATCACTGAATCTATAATTATTTATTCACCAACATAAATTCATTAGTTTACCAATATTTCCTTTCCCATTAAACGAATTAGTTGTTCCAAACGTTTAGCTTTTGTTTGATAGAGTATTTTTGAAAATGGAAGTTCGTTGGCAGGTGTAGATGATAAAATTCTAGATATTTGTTGACATACTATGGATAATGACATAACTAAAGGATTATTTAAAATTAAACCAGTTCCAGATTCTTCAACAGAAGCGACAGATGACTTTTCTAATGTTTCTGAATCATTGTCTACATCAAATTCAAATATCGAAGGACGATTTGGTATAGTTTTGGCACGTTCATGGTTCAATGCACGTTGATAATTGCACAAAGCTCTTAAAGCGATGCAATAGGCACAACGTGTTTTCTTTGTTGCACGACGATTAGGTGTATTATCAGTATTCGACTTTTTTGTTTTATCATCTATTTTCGACTTGGTTTTACGTTTCTCTCCTTTTCGTTTATTTTCTTCATCTGTATCAAAAGCTCTTGCACAGCATGCATAAAAAGGCTGCAGAATCCGTCGATCAACTTCACGACCATTCTGAAAATTTTTTTAAAAGATATATAAAAATAAATGTGTGAAAATTTTAAACACAGAGAAATACTGGATGCGCACGTGAAGTCAGAACATGCTTCAGTCAAGACAGAATCGATGAAAAGGTAAAACTAAACGAGCTACTAGGAATTTGTGATTATTATACTTCGTTTAGTAATTACATTACATTCAGGACTTTGGTTTATTTGAAAAAGAAACAAGCTAGGTAATTTTAGTTTAGATTAGTTGGGAATAAAACCTTGAGTGTAAATGTCAGGCAAGGATGCTGACTCTCGTCTTTTCTCTTATGATGATTGACTAGATTATGAAGACCTCCATATCCCAAGGAGAAACACGGGATACAATGGACAACTCGGAATCAATTAGACGACTTGAACTTCGCAGATGACCTAGCTCTTCTATCTCATTCACATCAACATATACAGGTCAAGACCAACAGTGTAACTGCAGTCTCTGCAGCAGTAGGCCTCAACATACACAATGGAAAAGGCAAGATCCTCAAACACAACATGTAGAGCACCAACCCAATCACACTTGGTGGAGAAACTCTGGAACAGGTGGACACTTTCAAGTATCTATCTGGAAAACATCATCGATGAAAAAGGAGGATCTGATACAGACATACATGAGAGGATTGGCGAAGTAAGGGCAGCATTTCTACAATTGAACAACATAAGGAACTCAAAACGATTGTCAGACAACATCAAAGTCACAATCTTTAATACGACGGTCAAGTCGGTCATTTCTACTGTACAGAGTTAAAACTTCGAGAACTACTACAACCGTCATCAAAACGGTACAGGTATATATTAACAATCGTCTACGTAAGATACTCAACGTCCGTTGGTTGTGTGCCATCAGCAACGACCTACTGTGGGAGAGAAGAAATCAGCTTCCAGATGAAGTGGAAATTAGGAAACGACTCTGGAAGTGGGTATGACATACATTGAGGAAATCATAAAACTGCATCACGAGGTGAGCGTTAACTTGGAATCCTGAAGGGGAACGGAAAACAGGAAGGCCAAAAACACACTCAGCTTGGGATTGGAAGCAGACATGGAAAGCATGAATAGCAACTGGAAGGGATTGACCAGGACAGAGTTGGATGGAGAATACTCGTGGGCGGCCTATGCTCCTTTACGAGGGATAATCCGCGTAAATAAGTAGTTGACTGTTTCTAGTTAACAATGATTATTAATTTCGGAATCATATGATAACCAGTCATATGGCAAAAGTAGACAATCAGGGATCCCATGATCTACTAACATATTTGTTTTGACTATCTATCTGGGACATTTTACGAGCCTACTTCTCCAGCAACCATTTATCATTGAAATAGTCGGCTGTCGAAAATATGAAAAAAGTTACCTATTCATTTTCTTGATTATGTATATCAACCAAACTTGCAATGTTTGAAGCACCAAATCTTAACCTGCCAAGGATCATATAATAATGTCAACAAATAAAAGCTAGATTTAGAAGTTAACAGCGGCAAAAAGCCTGGAATTTCATGTTTTAATCTGTTAATGGTAAATTCCGACAGTTTTTATAACAGTACAACAAATGAATACAACCTACCATAAAGGAATTCCAGGTATCATCCATAGGTTGCATAGCTATTCTCATTTCTTCACGTGCTGTAAAGACTTCTCCCAACTCAGTTAGTAACATCGCTTTGAATGTGATAGCTGAACCAGCATAAAGTAAAGATGTTCTAAAAACAAGTCACCAAATAATGAAATTCTAAATTTAACCAACAATGTCTTTGATATTTTTAAACTGTCCACTTCTAAAAGTCAGCTATATATAAAATTCAACAATAAATAATTTATTATTTCTGGTAGTGTACCGTTAATTTAGAGTAAGAAAATAACAGTTTCGTACATATTACAAGATCATTTACGTATTTTTAAACATGGAGTTTGTCGTTTAATTAAATAGTTTTACATCATTTTATTACTCATCAGATTAAACAAATCTACCTGCTTTAGTTTGGGCACCTGGGCAGTATCTCAGACCTCACACAAATCAAATGAGATTTGTGCGGCGCATATGTATCTGATGCTTCATTGTACCAATATTTATGTGTTTAAATAAATGAACAAATTTACCTGTTAAGCTTCAATATAGGTAAATGTTAAAACTCAACTGAGGACTTAGTAACATGTTACCGGAATTTATCAAACTTTTACCTTCAATCTTTTAGACACCTTAATTATCACATAACACGAAACTTTGATACACTGCTCCTGAAAGCAAAATTTTATTTTCCTTCCTTCAAAGTCATGCCCTAAAGAACAACATTTAATGCAATATCATGTTTTTGTTTATTAGTTTTGATAATAACTTATATTTACAACTCAATTCATCAGCGTTATCGTATAAATTTTATTTCAGGTGACAATAAAGTTAATATAACAACATACAATACATACAATGCAATTTTATGTACCTGAATCCACTTCGATTCATATTTGGCCTGCTTTTAAAACTTGCAACAAGCATATCAATTAAACTATGACCTAGACCAGAAACAATAAGAAAATCAATTGCTTCTGCAAGCCAACTAAGCCATCCACCAGCATCGATAGTAGCCATTTTATCAGTAAGATTTTCATTAGCACCTTGCTTTGTTGGATCACGTAGTTCATTATCTAATTCTTCTACAATTGGATCTAAATTTTCTCTCACCTTTGCTAACAGTTGAGAGTGCATCTGAAATTATATTTTTAAAAGAAGTAATTAGCCACTGAATATGTTTAAAAAGCGTAGAGAATTATTTATCAAAACATGTTTCTGAAAATATTGTAGGAAAGCATGATAAAGTTATAATTAAAATATTTCTAATACCTAAAACATGAACAAGATCACCTTAGAATACAAAACAGAGAATTTGATCTGATTTAATACAAACTACAGATTATCTTATTTTATGGAAACTATTGATGAGCGGTGATACATTACATATATTTAAAATACTACTATTATTGAAGAAATAATGATAACGAAATGTCTGTCTGAAGTAAATACAAATGTGTTTGCGATGTATGAAACATGACAGGAGCATGATCTGTATACCTCTCGTAAACGTCTGATTGACTTTGAAAGTACGTATTTTTTCAATAACCATGTCACTAGTAAGTAGAAAAGTTTCAAGACAATATATTTCACCAAAATGTTCATAAATGATGTCTGGACTCATTTAAGTCTAATGAGATATTCTATAGGCAAAGATGGATAGTGGCTAGCAGTGGAATCTAGGACGAGCGTTTCGTCCTATTTGGGACTCGTCAGCTAGATGTACCCGTATTTCAGAGATGATGTTCGCTCTCGGGATATTCTTTAGTAATCGACTATTATTTAATAAATGTATGTAAATTTTGTGAAAACTATGCATTTAGCACTCATTAAATAAATCACGTACATGAAGACAATCGTGATTTAATTAATTATGTACATAACAAATATATCTTTTAGTTATAACCAATACAGTATACGATTATAGTGGTTTTCTGAGAAGATCATCAAGCATAAATTCTATTCAATTTTCCATATAAGGCTTACTAATTTTAAAAAATACTTCATGAAAAAATGTAAATTTTCTCCATGGAAGTTTCCGTGGTGTCCTGAACACAAACTTATTCAACTAATGGTAGGTATTCCAATGATGCACATTTCAAAATCACATCTTAATCCTGTTATAAAAAGAAATAATAATGATCATAATGCAATTGACAGTACACCTGAATGTATGTAGTTCGTAGGCGTTCTGCCTTGGAGCATAAATCTCTGTCAACACGAGGATCTAGTCCCTCTAAACTAAAATCTCCACTCTTCTTAGTCTGTACTGAAACAACAGAGTATGAAGTATTTTTCAGCAACGGTGGACTTTGTGGAATTATGGGAAGAGGTTCATCCAGCATCGGAACTTTTTGAGTTTGAATCAACCAATGTAAGTTGGTAATTGCATGAAGCCTTTGACTCCAATCTGCAAGAATACCATGATGTCTTTCAAAACTGTCAGCTGAACGCAAAACATCTCTGTAGCAGTCTGCAGCCTGAACTAACTGGAAATAACAATAGAAAAGGAGAAAAGAATCAGTTCATACAGATTAGTTGAGTTAATAAATATTGATATAATGAGAAAAACAAATGGATGCTTGTGTTAGACTGGGTTAATATATTGGGGCTTGTATGATCAGGTCGTAATAGCAGAAGAGTAGCTGTATGGTCTTTCTCTTCCTCGTTTTAGTCTGATTATCCATTGGTTCAAATATATTGTCAGGATGACTGGTGATCTTTTATTTACCAATTGATGTACTGACTAATGAGCAACAACTAAGACGTTAACGCTTATTGGTTTTCGAGATGCTAACCTAGTGTCTAATCACGAGACGTAGAAAACTGATCAGCTCTCTATCGTATTCTATTCAATCATGACTTAAAACTAATAGAATGATATATTTGAAATCTCTGACCATATGGTAACATAATTACGGGACTATAATATGTACATCACTTGGTCATAAATGATACAGAAAGGGAGTAATAAAGAAATAACCGGTTAGTGATCAATGTGGAACAATTAGAAATATTACAACGATTTATGGGTCAAACGAACATTTATGAATAGTAGAACATAAAAACACAATAGTCAAAGGATTCACTAATTATAATAAAAATATAAATAATAGTCCTTAGTATGATAGTTCTAAAAGTTATATTTTTACAGTACCCATCTCAATATATATATTCAAACACAAACTGACTTCTTAGGTTCAATGGTCAGGTGACTCATATACATTACAATATCTATATAAATAAGGACTATTTACAATTGATTGGTTACTGGATCATGAGCGGTCCCATGTTTTTCAAGCCCTTATTGTTAACCGAATTCTATCAATCAGGTCGAGATGTGTTAACTAGTCTAACCGACTCGACATCGCGTGCATTACGCTGGAATGTAAGGTGGTTAGGGGTAGTGTTATATCTTGTGGCCGAGTGGATGCCTTGCTAACGTATGACGTGATAAGACCGCCAATCAGAGAGCAGCGAAGTATCAATGGGAACAGTGACACGCGAAAACCGTACGAGCAGTCTAGAGTACGTATCGGTCCTGCCTTCTGCCTAGCCCAGACAATTAAGTCCAAAACACCAATAACAGCCTCTGCGGTCTGAATCATTATATTTCAAACATACTGAGTTTATATTACCAGTCAAACGGACCACATTGTACCAATAATATAGAAAATAACATTTGTGCAAGATTCAGCCAAATGTGGCTGTGAATGTGAGAGGCAGTAATTAATAGACTAGGGATAACTCAAGAATGGTAAATCGTACAATAATAGTCTATAGGTCAAAATAAAGCTTATAATAAGGGGAACATGAGTATGAATAGTTCAGTTATTTAGCGAATATACAATAATAAATATATGCATAATACTGGTCCATAAATGGATGACAAAAATACCATTCACTATTGTTATTGGAACACAACAGGTAGTCAGTGGGAAACCTTGGACTTGGGTTTTGTGCTATTTGACACTCATCAACAAGGTGTGCCTTCAATCTTGAGAAAATTGATGCTTCCAGGAAGATTCCGTCGCATGTCATCCAGCTTCATAATTAGAGACTTTGCCACAGAACTATTCGGGCCATGACTGGCCTCTTGTAAGACTGAGGTGTATCTACAATTGATTGACCACTGAATAACAACCAGTATCATGTTTGTCACGTCCTTCTTAGTGTTGATAGAATTTCATCGGTCAAACTCTATTTTCTCCAGATCACAGATACACCTAATTGACGAGCGCCAAATAACACGAAATATAGGTTCAAGATTTCCTGATGAGCACCTCCAGTCACCTTATATCTCAGATGCGGATTATAATATGCTACATTTGGACTGTGCAGTTATGCTTACCTGATTTTTGATAATAAAACAACCAGCGGCGCCATTTTTATTGAAAACCCAAGTACGTAGAAGGCCTTCACATTCTCTACGAGTCTCATCCACAACACGTCTGATCACTTCGGTCATTGTGAAACATCTTTGTTAATCAGGTACGAAAAAAATAAGATAATAGATAAGGAAATAATCTATCCGAGTATTTATTATTATTATCATTAGGTATTATCCACGATCAATACATGGTGGAAAGTAGTAGTCGGTAGAGGAAAACACTTGTACGTAAAACACTATATATATGATAAATTAACATAAAATTTGATAAAATAACTGCAGAAGTGATCTTAATTTAGAATAAACAGTAGTGAGTGAAATACATAAAGTGGAAGGAGAGCTAACAAATTCTTGTAAGTTTAGGATGGTACTGGCTCTACTTTAGGATGGTATGAATTCCATCTTTTTATTAATTAGACGAACGCAAATATGTTTCATTATCAAGCAAACACTAGAGTTTTATCACATAAATCAGATAAGTGCATAATGACATTATCTCAATAATCAAGATCTAAACGGGAAACAAAATTCCCACCCCTTTAAAATAAATCTTATTGGTAATGTTATCAGGCTAAATCAATAAATTTGGAAAACTGCCCGAAATTAAAAACGGAAGTTAAATCTCGTTATTAATTAATTTTAGATAAAACATAATTCTATGTTAGTTTGATGAACAGCTGTTGTAAACAGTGAAATAGTATTACCTATAATAATTGCTTATGGTCAGTATCAACACTGGTACCTAATTTCTATGAGAAATTCAAACACTTCATTTCTACCCGAAGTTTGTGCTCATGATGTCGTTCAGAAGGACGATGAAAGCTCCATGAATAAGAAAAAGAGAATTCAGCGAAGAAAATTTTCTTTTAGACGAAATAATTTACTTAAGCTGTACATTCGTATATATAGTTATACATTCGAAAGCTCCATGACCAAACCATCCAGCTCAGAGAACAAAACTCCATCAGAAGGCCTACATTCGCACCGTAATAGTTTCTTAAGGAAATCGAAGACATTAATGTTATAAATAAATTCGTAAATTAGTATCAGATTCTGGAAATTGTGGTTATATAAAGGGAGATGCAATCATTTCTGAGAGCTAAGTATCTTATTACTTACCCCGTTCCTAAATTACGATGGGCTCGAGCATCGGCTAAAGTGGGAGCATTATTCATCCTCCTTGAATAGTCTTCACCATTATCACTGTATTGTTCATCATCGTTGAGGCCTACACGTACCATATTTGGGATAATTTCAGAGGTCGTTAGTCCATTTACACGTCCTGTTTGGTTCCTGTCACTACGATTACCTTTATGCGATCCACAATTAGCCACAACAAGACTTGGATGTGTGCAAGCCTGACGAAGTCGAGTAATTAAATAAACCAAGCGCCAGTGTGCAGCCGTAGGTAAACTACAAAGTGACTGATCAGGTGAAATGGACATGTTTTGAACTAAACGCTCAAGAGCACCAGCTGATTGAGCGAGGACACGATCATGTATATATCGTTCAACGGGAGTAAATGTAATCCTACATAAGAAAATATTTATAATTCGTATTCAGGACATAAGTTATATGTTAAGTTAATATCCACATAATTAAAAAAAACAACAAAAAACCAGCCGAGAATTGTGGTGGAGAGTTTATTAGTCAACTTTTAAAGGAACCGTATGACTATTAAGGGAGTTATGGGAACAAGTATGCGATAAGCTGATAACATAGGGATGAGGAAAACTGACACACAAACAGAAGAGAAAGATTAAGCTAAATATTCAAAAGCCAAGCAAAAAAATGTCAATATATCTACGACACTTTCGATAAAGTGGTTTGTGTGTAACAATAGTTTAGTGGTTAATACTATTTTAATCAACATGTCATACATTTGAACCTTATTTCACCTACACTGAGATTAAGTATCTTGTTAGTATCACTGGCCCTTATAAAAAGTCGATGAAATTCAAAGTCAATTACATAAAATCATAGTTGATCAGTGAATTGTATTACTTATTTATGTATTTACACAACTAAAAAATCAGGGGCACTAATGATTAATGTATACAAGAATCTCTAAAGGAATAATCACAAAAAATGAAGTCATATTCAGATGGATATGCATAAACTGCATAAAACTCAACTTACCAATGGATTTCCTCAGTGAGTGGGGGTATAGCAAGCTGATCACCTACAAGAGCTTTGGTATTTCTCCATAACAGTTTATTCAAAACTTTGCTCAGGTCCGTACTAGCAATAAGTGATTCATCAAACGCAACAGGTTTTAAATCTTCTTCCGAATCATAATGGTTTTTACCTGAGGATGTAGAGCATGTTACAAGGAACGGCTGATACAACAAACTATTCCAGTAATGTGAAAAAGAATACGGTGTGAGCCGAAGATAAGCGAACAGCCCGAATAAGTCTGAAAAAGGAAATAACGATGAACACTGATACCTTCAGTTGAAAACTGATATGTCAACAGTGGACGTTTATGGCATGATGTAAGTAGTGCTAACTTCAAGAAACGAATAATGAAAACAGAAGGAAAAATGTTAGACAGTCATATGTAATGCAGGACTGGGACATATCTGCATCGGTTCAAGTTGTTACACCATAGTAGCACAGGGAGCTGAGATTATCAAAGCGAATGCGTAACAGTATTAGTGGTAGTAGAAAAGACTAGTCATAGAATATGACTCAAGAAGGAATTAATTCGTGGAATATAAAGTATAAGATAATTCTAAAACTCAGGATCTAAGAGAAGTGATGTGTGGGCGAGAGTGACAATGATTGGTTGTCTTGATGAGTCAGACATTAGATAGGATGACAGGTGTTATATGTGTTATATATATTCCTCTATCCTTATTATGTATTGACTGTTCCTTGTTGTTGGATTGTGTCGGATTTTGGTGTGGAAATATATTGACGTTATAGTCAGGCTAATCTCGTGTTCTTGATCTGAGTTGTGTTGAAGTCCTGTAGAATAGACAATGGGTGGGAATCTAGTGTAGATATTCGTCTAAGGTAAATTAACGTCCCACATACGTGTAAAAAGTGAAAGAACTGTTATAACAAGAAACCCTAGTGTTATAAGCAGTATCCTATTGTTTATAACAAGAATAGTGAGTGAATCTCTGCAATTTCAACCGATCCTGAACCTCGTCATCCAGTGTCTTTAACCATGAGAATCATACGGACCCTAACTAGGTAGTCTGAACTTACCAACATGGATCATTCCAACTATTAACGACTTATTGGGTTGATATAACATTTGGTTTGCTTTGTGGTGTGAGCTACTGATATCGATATAAGTAGTATATATGGTGAGTAAGGAATAGAATATCTGACAGCAGAAGATTGAGAAGATCAAGAAGAGAAGAACAGAAATAAAAAGCAATTTGTGTGGAAATCCAGGAACAATGAAGTCTGAGGCAATTGAAGAACATTTTGCAAATAGTGTATCATAGCATGGTTTTGTATTTTACCAAGTAACGTTGTAATTTGCGCTAAATACATAGTTGGTTGTCCTCACCCGTGTTCTCATTCACAACATTTGGTGTCGCTGCCTCCAAGGATGAAGATTCCATGGCCGAAGGAATTTGAGGACGGGGATGTGCTGAGCTTCCTGAAGGAGTTCGAAGCTGTGGCGGAGCTGGTGGGGGTGAAGGAGCCGAAGGCGAAGACGGTGGTGCTGGGGACGCTGCTGAGAGGCAGAGCGAAAGCTGTATATGACAGCCTGGACGGTGCGGGCGGTAAGACGACATGGGAGGCAGTCACGGAGCGGTTGACCGTGGAGTTCGATAGCCCAGTGGACAGAGAGGAAGCACTGCAGAAGTTCCGAGTGGCGAAGTTGCCGATCGATGGTGATCCGCTGGTGCTGGCCGTGGAGCTTACCAAGTTGCTGCGTCGCGCGCTGCCAAATCTGGATGAGGAGTCGGAGGCACAGTTGTTGGCGTCTCAGTTTATCGAGAGCGTGCCTGTTGCCGTTTCCCAGCAGCTGAGACTGGTACATGCCGCGCAACCTATGGATATCAGTGAGCTTGCAAAGGTGACGCGACAGTTGATGACACAAACAGTAGCTCCGGTCGCGTGCGGAAGTCAGGAGATAAGCAGCATTGAGAAGAAGATTGAAGAACTGCAGCACGAGATTGCGGCATTACGAGTGATTCGAAAAAGGAATGATAAGTGTTTCGCATGTGGAGGGACAGGACACTGGAAGATAAACTGTCCAACACGACGAAAACGGAGATATTTTAGACGTTACGTGTTTCCTTCTTACTCTAGGGATCTGGGGGTTGTTGCATTAGTAGATAGAGGGGCAGTCTATGCAAGAGTGAACGTAAATGAACTAGATTTAGTGTGCCTAATCGATACAGGGGCAGCAGTTTCGTTAATAGGTAAAGAGCAATGTAAAAGTTTTAAGCCGTGTAAAGTCGCAGTTCACACTATAGGAGGGCATATGTTAGAGGTATTGGGCCTGTCTAACAGTATCGTAAAAGTGGATGGTTCGGAGATAAGTTTTCCGTTCGTGGTAACCGCAAACCTGTCGAGACCAATATTAGGAGCAGATTTCCTAAGAGAAGTAAAAGCCATAGTTGACCTAAGAAGCGGTAAGGTGGTCACGAAGTACGGTTCATTCTCAATACATGAAAGTAGTGAGGTGGCTGAGGTTAGAGTGGCAACAGCCGTTGTGACGAAGAAACCAAACATAACCGAGTTGTGCAAAAAGTATGCGAAACTGTTTACTGGAGAAGGAGAACCGTACGGATTTTGCGACAAAGTAAAGCACGAAATCCCGATAAAGAACAGTGGAGGAAGTATATTCACAACACGTCGTGTCCCTGTGCACTTAGAGGCTGAAGTAAATCGACAGGTCCAAGAGATGCTGAAAGAAGGAATAATTGAGGAGGCGGACAGCCCGTATAGCTCACCGGTACTCTTGGTAAAGAAACCGAATGGGAAATATAGATTTTGTGTTGATTTTAGAGAACTGAATAATATAACAGAACTAAAGCCGTGTGCAATGCCAACAGTAGTGGAAACATTAGATCGGCTGCAGAATGCCACGGTGTTTACAGTGTTGGATTTGCGGTCAGGTTATTGGCAGCTGCCTATAAAAGAGAGCGATCGAAGCAAGACAGCATTTACCATACGTGATAAACAATATCAATTTAGACGAATGCCGTTCGGATTGGCGGGCGCACCTTTTACGTTCAGAAGATTAATGTCGCTACTGCTCAGGGATCTGGATAACGTCGAAGTGTATGGCGACGATGTAGTCGTATACAGCCAGACAGAAACAGATCATGTCAAGCATGTGGAAGCGGTCCTAAAGCGAATTGAAGAATTCGGACTTCGAATTAATAAGGACAAGTCACAGATGGCGAAAAGTAGCATCACGTTGTTGGGGCATAAAGTGGGAAACGGAGAAATAAAACCGCTGCCGGAGAAAATTCTGACTATAAAGAACGTTGCAGTACCGAATTCGAAAAGGAAATTGAGACAGTTCCTGGGAAGGGCGGCGTTCTACAGTCGGTTCATCAAGAATTTCAACGAAATAGCAGCACCCCTTTATAAGTTGTTGAGTAACACTAAATTTTCGTGGACTGAAACCGCCCAACAAACGTTTAATCAAATCAAAAACATGCTGGACGACCGCCAGATGACGCTCAGACTGCCCGAACTGGAGAAACCGTTTACAGTGACAACAGACGCAAGTGACCATGGTATAGGTGCCGTTTTAAGTCAGTCTGATAGAGTAGTGGAATACGCAAGTCGCGTTCTCACGCCTGCCGAACAGAAGTATTCAACGATCGAAAAGGAGTGTTTAGCGATTGTGTGGGCAGTAGACAAGTGGAGACCATATCTGTTAGGTAAACGATTTCACATCGAGACTGACCATAAACCTCTGCAGTGGCTACAAACAGCACGAGACCCACGTGGGAAGTTGGCGCGATGGATGACACGTCTGCAGGAGTATGACTTCAGTATCGGGCATGTTCCAGGGAAGGAAAATGTGATGGCGGACTATCTGTCAAGAACAGACATGGAAGCCGAGCTTCCATTGACAGCATACGCAGTGAACAGTATAGAGGGAGACCCACTAGAACTCGTCCGGCAACAGAAATCTGATCCTAAACTGCGAGAGGTAATCAGAGTGATAAGAGAGGGGGCAGATTTTGACAAACGAGCAATGGACAAGGAGGCAATAATGTTGCTTCGGCAAAAGGAAAGACTGAAAGTGAACACATATGGAGCTCTGGTCTGGCAGGATGATGACAAAAATTGGATGGCTGTGATCCCGAAAGACTGGCGGCGTAAGATGATACACGAATGCCATCAGGTAGCGCACACTGGTATCGCAAGAACGACAGATTTACTACGGCAAAGTGCATACTGGCCAGGCATGAGAGACGATGTGGCCCAATATGTGTTGACGTGCCAGCAGTGCCAATTAATGAAAAGCGATAGATACATGCAACCGCCATTGCAGTCGGTCCCAGTAACCGCAGTTGGTGATCTATGGTCGGTAGATGTGATGGGACCATTTCCACAGACGGATAGCGGCAACCGATACTTACTAGTTATGACGGAACATGCTACACGATGGGTCGACGCTGTACCGATTGCCGACCAGCGGGCGAAAACAGTGACCGAAGTAATAATCCGGCACATTGTAGCAGGTCATGGAGTACCGAAGATGATACTAACCGACCAGGGTCCCTGTTTTGAAAGTGACGAGTTTAAGGCCCGTTTGAAGCAGTTCGGTATCAAGAGGATACGAACTACACCGTATCACCCTCAGACGAATGGGCTTACGGAAAGAAACAACCGGACATTAAAGGAATGGTTAGCATCTAAAGGAGGGAATTGGGAGAAAGAGTTACCACTAATTTTGCTGGCGCATCGTGCCTCCATCCAAGGAACAACTAAGAAATCACCTTTCCTACTTATGTATGGTAGACAGCCACGACTTCCGATGCATAATATGACGTGGCCACAGCAGCAGAAGTGGACGGCAACAAGATTAAGGAAAGAGAGGACGGAGGCAATAAAGAACGTGAAAAAGAAACAAATATCAGACACCAAGAAGGTGGAACAGCAGAGAAGAGCATGGAAGCCTTTTAGAGTGGGGGACCTGGTAAAGTGTAGAAAACGGAGAGCTAACACTGAAGGGGGACCAGGGTCAGGAAAGCTGACCCCGAAATGGGAGGGACCGTACATTATCACGGAGAGACGCGGCCCAGTTTACACGATCCGGAGAGAAGACAAGCAGAAGCGTGTAAATGCCAGTCAACTACAGAGATGGTTTCAGGAACATCATGAGCACGAGTCACGAACAGCACCAAAGGAGACAATGGTACGGCGATCAGAAAGATTGCGAGAACAGCTTATTAAAAGGGGGGACGAGTGTGGTGTGAG